ACGAGTCGAAAACTTTTCCGAGGCAGTGTCAAGGCTTCTACAGGACAGCAACTTCGTGCACGAATCTCGTGTCCTTCAGGTTCGGGTCGATCGCTCTAAGCGGGCAGTCGGCATAGCATTGGAGCTTACCAGAGTCCGCCAGAGGGGCAATCGTTTCAGGCGCAGACTGGCGTGGGGACAGTTCTTGACGGCTTCATTCGGAAGGATTCGTTGCAATTCTTTTCTTGCTGAACATTTGGACGTGAGTAGGTCCACTGTCAAGCACATGCAAATCGCGGTTGCCTCTGCCTTTATGAATCAGCAGGCGCTTTTCGTTGCGAGACTCGTGTCGCTGTGCACATCGAAGCCACCGCTTTTTTTCTTGAAACATATCAAATGGGACGAGACGCAGCTTCTGTGCACGATGAATGCAGACAAGTCTTCGCAGCGAGTGAGAAGTAGCTGGCAGGTCATGGTGGTACGCATAAGAATAGTCCTTGTTTGGGAAGATGGCTCTAATATGGTTGTTCGGTTGATTGTACCCCCGGTGAGCCTTCTAGCGACGGGAGCAGAGCACCAATACTATGCCCTTTCGTATCATCCTGCATACAAGTGTCTCAACGGTTTGCTGGGTCTTTTACGACAACAAGCTGAAGAAAACATGGACTTATCAGAGACAGACGGGGCATCCAGCAACAACCGATTGATCGCACATTTGATCCAACAGGCGAAAACAACACATCTTGGACGTGGTTCTTCTGGTTCTGCGGGTCACCCGCTTTTGTTGGCCCATTGCAGGTGCATGAACCATGCAGTGCAGTTGAATAGTGCTGCCATCCTCGGGACAGTCAGTGCCACCCTGCTCAACAGGGTTTACGGCATGACAATTTTTATCCGCAATCTGGGCTACTGGCTCCGGATCAGACAGGCGATTAGAAATTGGGTGGGTGAGAACCTGAGATTTCGGCCTGAAGTTCCCGCCAGCAATCTTCAAGAGCACGTGCAGCCACACCCAGCCCTCCAAGAGTTGATAGCCTATCTTCGCATGTGGAAGAAGCTTGAAAAGCAGAGTGCGAAGGCTGAAGATGACCGGCCACGAGTCGATGAGGACGAGGACGAGTCAAGTTTCGATCGTAAGGCGGCTGCTTTTCTGGATATGTGGAATGGTAATGTGGCAGACGGTCCTTGTCATGTGTGTTCTTGTCCCAACATTCCGCCTGGCCATCGTCACTGTGCGGACAGGGCCGCTGCCGTGAAGAAGTGTAGTGACACCCTACTTGATCTGTTTGTGCATGCGATGCCCGGTGTTCCATCTCCCAGCAAATGGACAAAACTACATTCGCCTTTGGATTTCTGCCTAGCGGGCACAGTAGTGCACAATTGGCTCGAACATGCATTCCGGAGTGCATTCTCGGAGATGGTGTTCCAGGAGTTCCCGGATAGCGAAGCTGGAACAGATCCTCGATTGGTTGAAGCCTTGTCGTTTCATGCAGTGAATGGCCGCCGGTTTCAAAGTTCGATGTCGTTCCTGCAGAACACACATGAAAAATGGGCTGTGGGTCTTTTGGCAGTGGCGCTGGAACCGAATCGTGTTCTGACGTGGTACTGGCTGAGTTGCTTGGGCCACTCATTGAGCCCCGGTGAAAGGCCACCTTTATACTGTTTGTTGGATCCGAGCAACAGTGTTTTGACGAGCCTTCTACAACACTGCAGTGCCTTGCTTGCTTCGGAGAGTGGGTCTGGGCGGGTCCGCTTGTTGTGGACTACTTCGGGGTACGATAGTTACGATCGCTTCTGTAGGTGCGAGCCGAACCGAGTCCGCGAGATTCGCAGGACCATGTTGTTCGCCTCTTGTTGGATGTTTCGTCGGCACTACGAGTATCTGCATTCGGAGTCCTTTCTTGTTGCCATCGTTGGAGACGAGCAGGCTGATCCTCAGGTGTTGTCTTCGTTCCTTTCTTCTTGGAGGCGTAAATCATGGTGCTGTGTCCCCCCAGGTTTGGCCCGGGCCCTCAAAACGAGACATGTCACAGCAGAAGAGCTTCAGACATCCCGCTGGAAGAAGATATTTGCTTGGTTTGCTGCGACATTGCAGTTGAGCATCGCTGACGTGGAAGTCAAACATGCGGCAAATCGCTCCAATGCGGAGAGCGGCTTTAGCACCATCGCTGCGAAATTTGTAAATTCGGACTCGCATTTGGTTGCACGTCAGGCTCGGCAAAAAACTTGGCCCAGCAAGGACAAGGATGAATCTGGACATATCGAAGATGTCGGGAAAGATGCCACTGTCGTAGATATGACAAAGCGAAGACCGAAGGGCCAATCAGCATTAGAGCTGTTTCGCAAGGATTGGCTGCACAGACGTCGCATGTCCGAAGCCGTCAATCCGGCTACGAAAGCAGTATGGGATGAAGTCCGTGCGGCTTGGAGGGAGCTGTCGGATGAGCAGAAGCAAGTGTACACTGCAATGGCTGCTTCTAGTGGGGAAGCTGCAGCTTCCCAAAGGCGACAAAACCGCCGTGCAACTTCAGATGCTACTGTTGACAAACGAGGCACAGGAATGAACTTGTGCCAGCAGCATTACCATTCTTGTTGCACACCAAAGCTGTTGAATGCAGTGCCTTTCCAGTATCATTTGGAAACCGCAGATTTGAAAGCATTGCTGTCCCCGTTTCCTAAGAACGAGCCCCGCACGTCCAACTTCGGCAAACACGGGTACCCTGTTTCAGAAGCATCCCTGAGTCGAATAGCTGAAGTGCAGCGGCAGAAGGGGATTTCGGCGAGGCAGGCCGAACGTCATTTCGACCAGGAAATGGAAAGGCTGGCCCGCCCGCCAGATTCGGACCTTTTCCCAGACAGGGTCGTCTATGAGAGTTATTGCGGGTGCCAGTGCCGGCATACCGGTGAGGACGAACGAATCTTGTCATTATCTTATGCTTTGTTGGAAACTGGTCGCCGAAAATAGCTTAAGCAGCTTCAGTTCGCAGCTTAAGCCTTAAGCCTTAGTCCTTAGTCGTCGAAGCCCGAATCCCGGAAATAGTGTCGTTTATGTCACCGATATCTGAGCCCAAGTCATTGACATTGAGTTCCTTTTAACTTTTAAGCAAGCGAAACTCCTAAACTATTGTATTCATGGGGTTGTGGCATGGTTGGGGGGATGCTTGGAGGGATGTTTGGGGAGATGATCACAGAATCATAGGGATGGTCGTCCCCATATTGCATCGATCGTCGTGGCTATCCTCAGCGCCTAAATACCTTCAGAACTAGAACCTAAGCCCGAGAGTTGACAACAGCAGTCCAAGTGAATCAAGCCCCCAAGCTCCTAAGCCCCACATTAAGCGAAATTACCCCCGAAGCCGCCGAAGCCTAAGCCGAAGCCTAAAGCAGGCTCAGCTTAAGACGAGCCCCGTAGATTAACCAAGCAGTGGACCAATGAGACCCCAAACCGCCAAACCCGAACTTCAAGCATTTCTCGGCCGTCCCTGCTTCGCCCAGGTATTGCATTGCACGTCAATTTGCTCCAGTCCTTCTTGCAGATCGTGAAGCAGCTCGGTTCTCCGATGGAAGTTGTGCGATCAGATGTGTTGCTGTCCTTTGAGGTGTTATCGAGCACGAGGCGCCATGTGGTTCGCCAATTTGCTTGGGTTTCTGCCGTATCCGCCAGAGCGGGAGCTTTGAAACCAGAACAGACTTTTGTGCTCGCAGAAGTGGCCGATTGTGGCCAAATTGGAGAGGGAATGCACAGATTCGACGGCCTTTATCTTGACCTCTGCTTCGAGCCTCATGTGCAGTGTAAGAAGGAATATTTGCCAGCCCCTCCCGACGAGCCCGCCGTTGGCCGCTTGAGAATGTTCGTCTCCGACTCTTTCGCCTTCCACTTGCTCAGTGTGTTCGATGATCATCCTGGTCTTTTCCCCGGGCAAGTCGTGATCAATAGACTTCTATACGAAGATTGTACTCCCAGGCGTGTCCGTGTCGTAGGTTTCGATGCGAATTTCCAAAGAGTCTTGGTATCTGTAGGGCATGGTTCTGATGTGCACGAAGCAGCAGATCCAATGTTTGACGGGGCGGGGGCTGGCCGGGATGATGCGGGCCCTTCTGCCGGCAGCGATATGGATTTCCTTGCTTTGTTGGATGACAATGATGCTGATACAGGTCCAACCCAGGCACCTGCAAAGCGCCGGAAGAAATCGCAACCTGTCTCTGAAAGGCTTGAGGCTCCGCCTGCTCCAGAGAATGATCTTTGTTTGCACTATTTCGCCGCTTTTGACATAGAGTTTATGCGGGGTTCGGGCATGGATTTGTGGTTCTTCAGTGTCGGGTTTTGAATAGTTCCGCGATCGGCTAGGCTATGTGACTATGTGATGTGGCTAGGCTATGGCTTGGTCTGTTTGTCTAGAGTCAGAGTTTGAGGGATCCTGGGCACTAGAATTCGAGGGGACCGAACGGGGCCGGGTTTTGCGATTGAGGCTTCAGGTTGCTCGGTCGGCGCCGTAGGCTGCTTTACTTTGCTAGTGGTGCTGTGGCCCCAAGAATGCCTCAAAGCAAACCCCCTCTCCCGGGCCGGGAGAGGGGGTTTGCTTTGAGGGAGTTTTGCCCCGCATCAGGACCGGCCAGGGAATCGTAGCGAGGATGACAGGTGCTGGGTCCCCAGTAGGCAACATAGAGCACTTTCGAAGGTTTCTGTTGGGATTTGCTGGTGTCGGGCTTGGGCCAGGCCTTTCCCAGGAGGGTTTTGGGCGGTTTTCATAAGGGCCAAGCCTTTCCTAGGAGGGTTTTGGGCGGTTTTCATGAGTTGTTATTCCTTGCAGTCGCTTTTTCTGCGGTTTCTGCGGGAGGGTCAAGGTAGACAGACGGTGTAGTCCACCGGTCCGGTATGGTACGTGACACACATCATCTATTATCTAAATTATTATCTATTGTCAGTAGTCAATATGACCGGACAATTCTATCTTAAGTTGCTAAATTATAATTATAACTTATAATTTATAATTGTAATTTATAATTAGACCTATGCCTATACAGTGCATTATACAAATTATGAATTATAAATACTGCTGTTGTTGTTGTTGTTGAAATTAAAGAATTGTCCTGTCATATTGACATAATTACTGACATTACCGTCGGCGCCCGTCTCATAAGACTCTCCAGGATATTTTGGACGACCCAGACCTGCAGGGCATCCTCGGTGCCGACAACATCGCTGAGCTCAAGAGAGCTATCGAGACGTGCACGGCCACCGGGACAGAGATTGCCAACAACAGTTGGATGGATGAGCGAGCAGCACAGGATTCAGATAGCGACATCTTCGATGAGGGCGATTGCAAGCAAAATCCAGATTCGAGAGGTGATGACTTTCTGCCAGCAGCCACTACGACATCCCCGACGACGGCACGGCGACTGTCGACTCCAGCCGCTTCGAGTTCTTCAGCTTCTTCATCAGCAGTCCCGCCGCTGACTCGAGCTGGTGCACAGAGCTCTGGTCCACATCAGACTTGGCAGCTTCTCAAGATGGATGAAGACGGGGCCAAGATCGAGGTGATGTTCGGTGGCACCGGTACTGATTTTTGTTCCGTGCGTAGATGTTTGAATGGGAAAGTGGAGCCGCTCGGCTTGGTGAAAAAGCTTACCAAGACAACGAATGGGCAAGAAAGCTTGAGAGCTCTTTGCAAAAAGCACACAAGATGCGAATGCTGGGTTACCGGCGGAACTGCACATTCCGACCTCATTTTGGAATGGCTCGCTGTCGCTCCTAAGGAGACAGCCGAAAGTCATGCCCGTCTTGCTTCGGAATTGAAGCGGTCGGTCGGTATGAAAGTTCGAGGCTGATGCGACGACTGGTGCCTTCCGAGACAAATCGAGGGACTGGGCAGTGACTGACGACAGCGAGTGATGAGTCTTCATATCTTAGCTTTACACTTTGACTCTAATTATTGATGGATGGACAAGATCCTGCAGTGCCAACTTCAAAGGTACTATAGAGACTATTTATAACTTACAACTTATATCTAGATAACTATAACTTAACTACCGCAGTATAACTTATGTTCAGCTTTATACACACTATACAGACTATACTGTACTAGACTATACAGTACACAGGGCTGCCAAGGTACTGCAGGATTTTGGCCATCATCTATTATAGCTATAAACTTGTAACTTATAATCTATAAATTCATGAAATATAAGAAAATTAAATCAATACACCTTATATACTGTATCATACTGTATACTGGTATTACTGTATGTAATGAGAAGTCACATCGAGCAGGCCATTCACGTCTGTGTAGCTACCGTGTAATAGTCGTAGAGCTGTCCAGTTGAGTCGTCGGCCAGGCAGCTTTGCAAAGTAGCACTCGATGCCAGGTTCATGTGCTGTGTCTCATGTTAGCGACTTGCTGTGCATGGTTGGAATAATGTCCCCGAAGCCTGAAAATCTGGTGTGCCCCGGGAGCTCCAGGGGCTCCTTTTTGCCTCGTTTCGTCGCAGCCAGTTACCAGTTAAGGGGCCGGGTTAGGTGGTAAGTGGGGGTGCACAAATTAATTGGTAACCCCCTACTAGAGCTCGGATTTACCACCCCCTTTCCTGGCCCGGAGTTACCAGTTAACTGGCCCCTCGTAAGTGGTAACTCCCGACCCAAAAATGGGCCCCGGAGCTCCTCGGAAGTGGTACTTGTGCACAAAAGCCGTTGTTTTTGTGGAGGCTCTGCTAGCTGCTCCCGGCCCTTTCCATGACCCCAGTCTGTGCGGATTCTCATGTCGCATCGTCGTGCCGATAGCCAGGAAACTCTAGTCCTTGGAGAACGTCGCGATCGCAGCCCGCCACGGCCTCCAGCTTTGGAGGAGCACTTGTGTGCACGAAGCCCGGGTGTCGCCTTGAAGGCCGAGTGCAGGCTCGTGTGGACTCGGATGCGATGCGAAAATGAGCTGCATGGCATTGAGACCGTGCCATTTTCGACCTTCTTCGCGGAGTACATGACCATGTTCACCAGTGGAAAGCAGATGCAGGGAATACGGACGAGCAGAAGCCGTTCTCGACTTCGAAGGGGTGATGACAATGAATCTCGCCGCCAACAAGATGCAGCTCTTCAGGCCCTTCTTCCTTCCAATGGTCATGCTGGTGCTTCGACGGCATTGGGATCGCTGCTCGCCCGAGAATCCGATGTGGAGGCAGGAGGCGCTTGGGAGCTGTCTTCCTCGTCTGCCCGCTGAAGTCGTCAGTGATTTCATCTGATCCAGGTTCGTCAAGTTGTGCTAGCCTGTCTTGTACAGAGTCTTCAGACAAGCCGGCCGATTATTATCATGATCATTACCTACTACTGCCTACCGCTGCTCTTTTCTTTTGCTGCGTCTGGAGCCTGTAGTCTATAGTCATAGTCTATCGTCTAGAGTCTATAGTAATAATACTCCTTGTTGTGCTGATTTGACTACACGTACTGTATTAAGATTCCGATCTCCCAAGTCCAGCGGTCCACAAGCCCAGTCGTGCAGCGAAGCGATGCAGCAGGGACTAATTCTAATGCTTTGTGTGATAATGGTAATGTGATGTGTGTGCAATGACGAGTCGCAAGATTCAAAAGCTCGATCCGAGCCCGGAGCTGTGACATGCAGGCAGCTGGTCGTACTGAATTGTCGTGAATCGCCGAGGCTTAACAGCTGACTTTGCTTGCCTCCGTAGGCCTCTCCTTTGCAGCGACATGGCTTCGAAAAGTGGGCCCGAGACATGCCGGACCTGCCATCGTTCGTTCAAAACAACATTGAACCCATGTGTGGCTGATCCGCAGCCTGAAAATCTGTTGAAGCGACGTGCAGCTGGAGCTGCACAGTGCAAACCTTGTTTCAACTTCATGATGTACGAGGATCCCTATCGCAACATGTCCACGGAGGAGCGCTATCAGCATTGTGATAATGAGGAGAACCACAAGGAGTACATGGGCCGTTTGAATCCTTGGGAGGAATCGAGAAGGAGGGGGGGGCGCCGAGCTCGAGGTGCAGGCTCTTCGACCGCCGAGGCTGTGAACGAGTCGTCGCTCGAAACGCGGCAGGTGATGGGGTACCTTTGGCCCGTCAGCCTGCTGAAAGCCCATCAAAAGCCAGTGCCAAAGAAACTTCAGTCCATTCCCCACATGGGCAAGCAAGTGAAAGGTGCGATTCTCCACGAATTCGTGGTCGGGGCGATCGAGGTAGCCACTCAATCTGCGAAAAAGGCACGGATTACAACAGTTGTGGCGGATGCTGATGAGTTGGATCGGGATGATTCCTCCTCTGCTTTCGCTTCAATGCAAAGATCTGTGGCTATCTCGTCTGCGGCGTCGTCGATCGAAGGCCACGACATGCAGCTCAAGATCAAGGCGAAGGGCAGCACGGACAGCGATGACGAGATGGCGGCAATCTTGTGGGGTGATAGCAGCATCGGAGGCATTGATTCCCCAAATGACCGAAGGCATACAAACCGAAATAATCATGTTAAGTATTGCCTCCAGGCCTTTGGCTCTTGGCACCTGCATGACCGAAGGCATGCAAACCGAAATAATCATGTTAAGTATTGCCTCCAGGCCTTTGGCTCTTGGCACCTGCATGACCGAAGGCATGCAAACCGAAATAATCATGTTAAGTATTGCCTCCAGGCCTTTGGCTCTTGGCACCTGCATGACCGAAGGCATGCAAACCGAAATAATCATGTTAAGTATTGCCTCCAGGCCTTTGGCTCTTGGCACCTGCATGACCGAAGGCATGCAAACCGAAATAATCTTCCAGGCCTTTGGCTCTTGGCACCTGCATGACCGAAGGCATACAAGCCGAAATAATCATGTTAAGTATTGCCTCCAGGCCTTGGTCTCTTTGCGACCTACATGACCGAAGGCATACAAAGCGAAATAATCATGTTAAGTATTGCCTCCAGGGTTTGGGCTCTTTGCCACCTGCATGACCGAAGGCATTCCTTTCCGGAATAATCATGTTAAGTATTGCCTACAGTCTTCTCGCACTTTTATGTATGGCTAGGATCCTCCCAGAAGCATCCCCGCATTAGCTTCCTCGCCCACCAAAAAGGTTCAACAAACTAAACTTACGGCCACGAGCTTGCCCTACGTTGCGGTATAGTCGGTATAGTCCGGTATGTACGGTAAAGTCGGTATAGTCGGAATAGTGAGTCATAGGCCATAGGCATAGGCATAGGGTCAGAGTCATAGCTAAGTGGTTTTGCTTAAGCACCCGCCTGTCAGTGTACGGTATACACTTTTATAGACTGTGTATTGAAATGGTGCTAAGTGGTTTTGCTTATACACTTTATAGACGGTGTATTGAAATTGTGCTAAGTGGTTTTGCTTAAGCACCCGCCTGTCATAGTGTACGGTATACACTTTATAGACGGTGTCGGTGTATTGAAATGGTGCTAAGTGGTTTTGCTTAAGCACCCGCCTGTCATAGTCATAGTGTGCGGTATACACTTTGTAGAGGGTAGATTGAAATGGTGCTAAGTGGTTTTGCTTAAGCACCCGCCTGGGTGGGGAGGTGGGCTGCAGACTGTATCGGCATCGGTGTAGGTGGCAACGACATCGGCAGTACCGCTTCTCGTAGTCATAGTCATAGGGTCACAGTCGAGTCATCGTCATAGTGTACGGTATATTCTGATTTTATAGACGATGTATTGAAATGGTGCAGACAGTATCAGCATCGGTGTAAGTGCCATCGACACAGGCAGTACCGGCCAGGCTAGGAAATAGGTTTTCCCCAAACATCCCAAACCCCTTCGCAAAAAATAGAACCAAAATATTGCATCGTTTCAGGTGCGAAGGCCGCAAAAGATTCGGATTCGGACGAGGACAAGCCCAAGAATGCCAAGAACAAGCGAAATCGCACTCGCGGACGAGATAGCTTGCCCAACACTTCCGGCGGTAACATCGGCGGCCCATCCGACCTATCGAACCCCGCAGGCACCCCATCTTCATCGTCTCTTACGGCTACTCCAAGCACCCTCGGTGGCTTCGGCAACCCTGGCACTGGCAATACCTCCTTGTCCAGTCTCGGCTCACTGCTGACATTGCCCAGGGCTTCGAAGAAACGGGGCAACGAAGTCAGAGAGCTAGAGCGGTCCGAACAAATATGCCTTCAGGCTGAGCACTTCAAGGCGGCGCTGCAAGACCCGAACACCAAGCTGGAGCTCAACAAAGTCGTCAAGCTTAAAGAAAGGATCCAGCAAAGACTCACGGACGAGTTCACGACCATGTACATGGATGCCGTGCGAACCCTAGGACCTGAATGCCGTGCCGCCAAGGTGTGGGACAACTTGAAGGATTCCTTTCGATTGGTGGAGCTGGCTTGCGACTTCATCGAGGCCCTGGCGGACCAAGAAGCTACTCCAGACACGTTGTCGTCACGTGCAAGAAGCTTGGAGGAGCAGGCTTCAGTCAAGCTACCCCGCAGCATCACGAGCGCAATATGTCGCAGATCAGCAGAGGAGCTCATGCAGGCGGGCAGCTATGACAAGGTGATTGCATTCCTGGATCCAACTGCACAGGAAAAGTTTCCCAATGGTATCGCCGCCGTCATGCCTGCCGAGGACCCCTCCAATCCATCCGCACCCGTTTCAGTTCCAGATGATGTTCGCGATTTCCAGGTCACATGCTTGGTCGCCTGCCTGACCCAGTTGTTTATGACACCCGTTCCGCCTGTGACGAAGGACGGAACCGAGGACCAGAAACTTGGCCCAAAACGAGAGGAAGTCTTGAACGGCACGATCGGCAAGCTAAACGACTTCTTCAAGGTTTGGCAAAGCTCGTCTTTGTGCTCCCAGTTAACCGAGGCGAAGAATAGCATCGTCGACGAGATGGCGAAACTGTTTAGCCTCGTGACCGCCGCAGTGAACACTACCCCGGTTTTCAAGGAAGCTGCTGCTTGCGAGCAGCTGGAAGCTACTAGAACCGGTTTGCTGAAGGTTAAGACAGGAGTCTTCTATGCCGCGATCGCCATGAGCCCGATCGGGAGTGAGATTTGTGCTCGTGTCTCACAGGGAGTGCAACAGCATCGTGCAGACGTTCTTCTTTCCATGGAGCTTGAATCCGCCCTCGAGATTGCTCAAAGTTTGAAAGCCCTGAACCCAGAGAGCCTCCTCAAGACGAAGGATGGCGAGGTGGAGGTGGTCGTTCCTCAACAGCATAAGATCGTGGATATGGTTTCCAAGCTTGCATGCTTCAAGGAGAAAGCGAGCAAGGATCTGCAGGATCGTTCTGTGGAACCTTTGACAGTCATCGAAAGTAAGATTACAGCATTGTCGTCTTCGCTGGAGGTTCTGATTTCACAGAGATACACAAGTAAGTTCAGTGATTCCATGACACCATTGATGGCGGCAATGACTAAAGGTGCCTTGGGCGAGGACTCCCACAAGTTGTACGAAATGATCACTTGCATGGTAGCATATCTTCCCTTGGGCAAAATTCCGCTTTGTAAGCTCCTCGGAAAGGCTTCTGGCGAGGCTTTTGAGCGGCGCCTAGCTGTCGTGGCCGCCTTTATGTGCTTGCTTAAGGATGGCTTCGCACTCATTGTGAAGATGCTGACCAAGGATTTCAATGAGGATCTGCTCTCGCAGCCTGCGGTCACGGAATTCTACACCAAGCTCCAGGACAAGGAGGCCCGAGATCTCTTGGCAAACACCGCTCCCTTCCTTGAGACGTCCTTCCAGCAAATGCTCGATGCTATGCAAGCATGCCTCACCAGTTGGCTCGGTCAAGTCGGTTCCACGTTTGTGAAGTTCTTGAACAAGCTTTCCGAGCCCGACATGACTGTGGAGGCGGTTCGCATCACCCTCCGGGAGGATGTCCTCGGAGCCTTCGATGTCAAGGCCGTCAATGCCGATGAGGCCGAGCTCGATTGGTTCTTCGCTTTCAACACCTACATCAAGCATATGGGCACCCGGCGAGTGTTGTTGCCTGGGGAGGGTGGGGAGTCTAAGCATGTGCATGCCGCATATATTTGTGTGGCTGGTGCCTTGCTTCGCATCGCAAAGTATGTGATGGTCATCCTGAGCCACGAGAAGGTGTGTCAGGACGATAAGGTGCTCTTGTTCAGGGAGATGTTGCATGCATCCGTGTCGGCACCGAAGGGGTCGTCCCCAGAGTGGGAGACGAAGATGTCTAGGCTGATTGGTTGCCAGGTTGTGTTCGAGAAACTTGCTCAGGTCACCGGGCGATTTGATGAAATGTTCGATCAGGCTTGCAGCATCACTGGTGACATGGATAGTGTCACGGCGTTCTACAAGGCCATGCAGACGGTCACCGCCGCAGCAGCCTCCGAATTCATTGCGGCTGTCGGCGCCGATTTCGCGAGCATGCAGGGTGCTGTGCTAACCCTCTACCAGGATCTCACCGCCAAGAACGACCTTGACACGATCTTCAAGTCGGACGTTTTGGACAAGCAGAGCATGCTCGCCCTATGCACCGATCCTAACATGCAAGGAATTGTTCTGTCCTGTGCCAAAGCAGAGCGCTTCTTGCCAGAGGTCGCAAGCATCCTTTCCCGGATGAAGAATTTGAAGGTGCCTCAATGGATGTCCGAGTCGACGGCTACATTGATCTCGGCCCTCCAAGACGACGTGCAGAAGTTTCATGCGATGGATGGCTCAGTGGACAAGGACAAGCAGACCACCAAGATTTCCATGGCCACGGCCCGTTATGTGAACGGCTCCATGACACTTGGGCAGGCCTTGAGTAGGGACTTGCTGCCGGGAGAAACTCGTATCGGACTGGTGGGCCGATGCCAAAATATCCTGGCTAAGAAGGGCATAGCCGTCGAACCCATGTTGTTGAAAAAAGTCTCCGCCATGAAAGGCGGTGGCAAGTGATGTCAGCTGTTAGGCGAATGGGGCGGGGCCGCAGGGCCACATTGCTTCAGGTGCACGGGGCACCGACCGTTTGCGAGCCGCAAGCAATATCAATACCACGAATAACAATAACAATGGCCATCGTCATCATCATCACATCAAATACTGAAACAAATCATCTCGTCCATACCCGAAATAAAGATAAGATAAATAATTATGATTATGATGATGGCGATGACGATGATGAGTATGATGATGCTGCTATTGTTGCTGCCGTGGCCTTTGTTACCGTCATCGTCGTCGTCATGGTGGTGTGTTGTTGTTGTTGTTGTTGTTGTTGTTGTTGTTGTTGGTTGTCGTGGTGATGGTGTTGCATCGTCGTCGTCATGGTGGTGTGTTGTTGTTCTTGTTGTTGTTGTTGGTTGTCGTGGTGATGGTGTTGGCCGGGGCTCCTCGGTACGAGGTTTTGGCCCATAGCCCATAGCCCATAGCCGCAGCCCATAGGCCCATAACTCCCACGATTTCTTAGATCGCAAGACCATAATCACAAAATACTGGGCCCATGATTCCATAATTATTGCGATTACGGCTTTCGTAAGCTTTAGGCTTCGGACTTTAGGTTTCGATTTCGGCTTAGGCGCTTAGGTTTACGGTTACGGTTTAACGGTTTAGTGTTTGCTGCATTTAGTGAATCATTTACAATGGGGCACGAGGGCGATGAAATGGACTCAGTTTTTGGGTGCCGTGTAGCTAAATCAATAAATATGTAAATACATACTCGGAATTCCGAATCCGAGACTTGCAGGCTTGCCGTTTTCCAAGCAATGACCCCCTCGTTTTGTATATCTATATTAATTAGCATCGATAATGTCGAGAATCGACATCGATCATCCAGTAGCCTCAGAAAGGAGGCTCGCAGGCTGGCCGAAACGTGGCCGCACAGGGGACGTCGCATGACGACAAAATCCGCTGTCCCGGACGTTGGAGGCCCTGGTTTGGGTTGTTCAGGGTTCGTCGGTGATTCTCGGAAGCCTGGAGCCCTATGCTATGAGATCCCAGGTCAAGTGATAAGTGATGCCATTAACCGAACAGCTAAGTGAGAAATTGGGCCCCCATTACAAGAAAAGTTAAGTGGTAAATGGGCCCCCATTAACAGAAAAGTTAAGTGGTAAATAGGCCCCCATTAACAGGAAAGTTAAGTGGTAAATGGCCCCAAAGTTAACAGGTAAATATCGTCTAAAGAAAACGTGTTAGAGCGGAGGCCCAACCTATGCCCTATGCACGCAGTATGAGTGGTACATGTGATATGATCCAAGTGATTGCCTGTTGCAGCCGATGTGTTGTGCGACATGGCCTTGGCAGCATCAGTCACACGACAGGTGCAAAATGCAGCCCAAACTTCTTGTCGCCATCGCCTTGCAAGGTCCAAGGTCTGCTAGGCTGCTGAAGTCTATGGTTTGCTTAGTTCCGAAACTTAGGTCTATTCCAAATGACAACAAGTCATGATTCTGACTTGACTTTGACTCTATGACAATGGTTCGATCAGTGTGGTAAGAAATTGATGATTGACGTTGATGTTGATGTGATGTATGTTGTCACCTGCGTGAAATAGTCAGGTTTATGTGCTGTCCCGCGTCACCCGTGTCGTCCTGTGCGAGCTTGGATTAGAGTCGGTAATGCCGTAAGTCGGAACTCATAGCAGGCAGACGGTAGGCGAGGTAGTGTGGCACCGTCACGGCAGCTTGGTTTAGTAGTCGTGCAGTACAGTACAGTCCAGTATAGTATAGTATAGTATAGTCTAGGAGTCTAGCACGTAGCGACAATGCTAGATGTCTAAATCGGTGCAGTGTAGCCAGTGCAGTGTAGCAGCCAATGGTTTAGTTGCAGAGCCTTGGGATTTACCATGTTCGCTGGAGCGCTTCCGGCGAATGTGCAAAGTCCTGTCGCTGCCCGAGCAAGGGCATTGGACTCCAAAGGACGTGCGAGCTCTCACAGCCAGCGGCAGCTGAACAACAAATTGTTGATCCAGTCCTGTGCGACTGCAGTGGCAGATCAGTATGAACATCTTCAGAAAGGCGGCTCGTCTGCGTTAAACATGCCATAGACGGTTGCATTTTCCTCCCAGTCAGAGCAGCGCATTTCGGTTTGGGGCATGAGATTGAAAGCGTTGCTGTGGCATTGGTAGTGCTGGCAGAGTGTGCGCTTGGGGGGGCTTGCATATATTCAGCTTCCCTTGCAATCGAATCGTTGCAATTCATGAGTGTCTCTGGCTGAGATGGCAAAAAGAAGCTTACCGCGATTCTTGCCGAAGCATACAGCCACGCTGGCTGCCTGACGTGCTTGCCTGTGGATACGAAGGGCCACAGCCAGAATTACTCTGCGGTTGTATCAGCCGCTGCATTTCTTGATGCCCAAAAGAGGTGCATTGATTGTCATTCCATGTCAACACAGAACGAGTCTCGGGGGTTTCTTTCTTTGTTATCACTTTGGCTTCACAGTTGCATGCTCTCTGGAGGCGCTTCAAGGATGCGATCTTTGCAACCCGACATGCTGCTGCGCACCAGGGTGGTGCTCTTCTTCCTGAGAAGGACAGGGTTCTGGCTTTCACTTTTGGATGGGACGAGACCCGGCAGCCTCATACTGTGGCCACTGCTGCAAGTTCCGAGACTCAGCCGGTAGGGCCGCCAGCTGCAGACGATGACATTGCAATCATGGATGCACAGCAGCTAGGCAGCTAGGCTGTGCGATCTTGAATCCATGTTACCCTAAATCCTAAACCCTAAACCGATCCATGTTGCTACGCTGCACCGTTCACAGTTGGAGGTTAGCATGCTTGGGAGTCGAGGGCACCTTTGAAGAGTGACGTGTGTGTGTGTGTGTGGGGCGCGTTATTGTAACTGCAAAAGCACGTTTTATGTGATTCATGATAGGCCTACCTACATGATATGGGATATGGTATGGGCATGGGCATGTGGACGATTGTGCGCATGCCGTGCAACTGTTCGTGCGTCGGTGTCTGTGTCCGTGTGCCTGCATCAGTGTCTCTGTGTCTCTGTGTGTGCACATGTGTGCGTAGGCTGCACATAGGTCGGTGTGTGGATGAGCAAAGTGTTTGCATTCCGTGTGTGCACATGTGCATGCATGCGAACATGGGTCTAGTGGGGGTCTCTCCTACTGTACATAGTGCATACAGTATACAGTATACAATACAAGAGTTTTTCAATTAAGGCCGGATCCCAAGCCTGGACGTGGGGGCTGTAACGCCAAGGGCTCTGCTGAATATGCAAACTCTCTGGTTTGTTCTGCGTGTGTGGCTTGGGACCCCCCTTGTGGTGAACGTCGAGCTAATGAGCTGGTCTTTCCACCTCGACAAATCAATTCTTGCGATGCCGGCCAGATTTTTCGGGGACTCATCAGCAACTTCGAAGACTTTGCTTTCGACTCCAGCTTCGATGGTTTTGTCCAGGAAGTAGCGAAGGCGTACAAGTACATATTTATTTCGGCTGTTGGAGATTCGGCATCGGCCAATTGCAAAGGCATAGCTCAGTTCCTGGCGTATATCCAGCAGTTGTCAGCCAGGCACAACATCGTGTGCACCGGAATTTTCACACCATGCTTCGCACACCAATTCTCGAGAGTGTTGCTTCTTCATTTGGAGCAGAGTAGCGTGAGTGCTGCCTTGTATTCGATATCAAGATTGCATCAAAATTCTGCGACCCGCAAGAGTGCGTCCGGGGCCATGAGGCAGTTGCTGCAGCAGCGCTTTCAGTATCATGAGAACACCTTCCCTCCAGAAGGCCCCACAACGTCCCCGGCATTCCGTCAACACTTGACACGGCTGCTCACGGGAATTTGGGATCCCGACGAAGTGGATGATGCTACTTTGAGGCTGGTTCGACGGGCATTGCGTTTCTTTAATGGGGATTTGAGGGATGAAAACACATGGTCCCATTATTGTTGTGGAAGACAGTGCCACACAAGCCGTCAGCACGCTCTCAACGAAGCATCTGGACTGCAGGGCTGCTGGATATGATGGTTGAGTTGAGGTTGAAGTTTCAGGGCTGGCTGGGCCTAAACCTCCCTAAACCCTAAACCCTCACATCATCACTGCACTCCATCAATTACAAGAACGTGTTGCCCTGCCATAGTGTAGCTGCGACTTAGTCGGCTTTAGGCTTTAGTCTCCAATCCCAGACAGGCCCCCACTCTGCCGGTTCTCCCAGGCATGGGAAATCCTCGACTCGCTGATCTTCAACTGCGGCAACCATATCTTTACCCCTTCCAGGTGGACCAAGGTAGCCCCCACTCTGCAGCAGTGGGCCAGGGGACTCACGATTCACAAAGCGATCCAGTGCAGCTATGTGGGTTCTGATGCGTTGCAGCAGGACGGAACCAAAGCATCGTCGTCAGTAATTGCCAGCAGAGGGTTTCTGGTGGGATTATAGCCATAGCCATAGCTGGTTCCAAAGTTCCAGAGCCGTGTGTTTTGGCTACAACCCGGAAAGTAGACTTTTCGGAAAGAGCGTGAAATAAGCTAATTATAGGCTACATCTCAAGTTTCGCGGACGTTTAGTGTAGTATCATCGATATCGATAGTTATAGAAATTCTAGAATTATAGTTAAACTTAAACATAGACAGCATAGCATACGCGTAGACCTGCAGGTTCGTTTTGCCGCTAAGTCAGGAGGCAAGTCCCATCGACGCAACACTTTTTGACCCATTCCTCCTGCCAGGCTAGTAGCAATCACGAGGCATGCCCGAGGCTGCAGGTACCTTGCCAATCCGTTGCACATATCTTGAGCTACTCGTCGTGCCAGCTCAAAGGAGTCTTCCCTGTCGTGTTGTCGCAATCCTCGCGTGTGTGTCTATGACTATTTCCGGGTCATAAGTCATAACTCAGTTCTGTTCACATTGGACTGTACGGACCGGACTAATTATACGCTAGACTAGTACCATTGGCCCATTGGCGGCGTGTTGGATCCTTGCCAGTTGGGTATGTCACAGCATGTCGCAGTCTGCCTAGTTTTTCTCTGTCGCTGAGTATGTGATGCATGATGCATGATGCATGCCTGTCCTCCAGTACAGTATAGTTTAGGAGCTGCCCCCACCCTGTAATAGTGGTATAATAGGAGTATAATAGGGCCCTAATATAATCCTATATAATCCTTATGGTCACTATTACAGGGTGGGGGCAGCTTCTAAAGTATAGTCTAGTCCAATTAATCATAAATCCTGGATCCGAACCCCTTAGGATAGAAAGACTTGGTTTCGAACCCGATGATCCATGACTGATGACTATGACTACCAGGCTATGACCCCTATGGCCGTTGGTGCCCATATATGATGCCTGTACCTGATCTTTATATGATGATGACTCGATGAGTATAAAGCTCTCGTCGCTTGAGTCAAACCTCAACCCCGCTGCCACCATTGTTGGCAGGACCAAGCGCCTGAGGCGCAGCCTGCTGCTGCCGATTTGGACGGCTTCCGGGCAAGCATGACGTTGCGCAAATCGAGGGCAAAGAAATTTTTGGAGGATCCAACTTCATTGTTCTCATTGCTGTGCACTTTGTGTATGAACTTCCTATTGGATGTGCCTATGAGAGTTTGCTTCAAACTGTTCGACGCAGACAAAGAGGGTCTTGATATTCCGAACCGGCAAAAGGAGGAGCGCCCGAGAAAGTGCAGGCGTTTGCGATGCAAGGGTGCACAAGCATTTCAGATTCCACAGATCGACGAGACAAAGCAGTATACTTTACTGGACATCAACTCAAGCAGCTTGAGGGTTGTGGATTATGTCTGGAAGGCTTTGGAAGCGCCACTGGAGCTTACTGTTTTGCAGGTGCCGGCCGTGTTTTGGCCGCAGACACGAGGTACCGATGACATGTTCCAGTACATGACACGCCAGTTGTTGAAAGCTCTGGCTGCACTGAAGTGGCGTGTAGGCTACAAGTTCCAGAATGCTCCGTACCGTTTGCTGGATATGGTGCGAGAGGACTGTAGCAAGGAAACCCAAAGTATTTTGACCGAAAAGTTCCTGGACATGCCCGATTGTTGTCTCAGTCCGTTCTGGGGCCGTCCTGTTAAGGACGATGTGTTGTCGTCGTTGGAGAGAGCAGGCGATGAGGCTGTTGATCCAGCAGTCCTTTTGAAAAATCATGTTGAGAACTTCAAGAAGCAAACCCGGGGTGTTACCATCCGAGAAGAACATCAGCACGCAATGCAGCGAACCTTCGCGGGGGGCTGGAGGGCGAAAGCACGTTCGTTCTGGCAGCAAGCAGCACAGGCCGTCCTTGCGAACTCTTCCAAGAACTGCTTTGCACGACGACAGGGTTTGGTCCGGAAGGCCAAGCTGAAGGAGTGGGCGTCATTGAAAAGGGCAGTGCAAAAGCGAAGGATCATCCACAGCAGACCTCGACAATGCGGCAATGCCATGTTTTTCTATGCATCCACGAAGATGTCCCAGGGTGGCCCCAAGACAAAGGACGAACTGTTCGCAGAATGGAAAAGCTTGCCTGCAGCAGAGAAGCAAAATTGGAAGAACCGGCAGCAGCTTTCTGTTATCCGCAAAAGGCAGGCAAAGAGGGCTGCAAAAGACCGTGAGGAAGAAGAGCTAGAAAAGTGCAAAGATGACACCCCGTGGGGCTTGGGGTGCAGTGAGCATGCTTTGAGGCCGGAGTTGCTGGGTGACTTTTTGGAGCCGTATCGAAAGAAAGAAACCGGAGTGAATTTGTTGCGAGAGATTGACCATCCGGCAGCTGTTGCTTATGTTGCAAAGATGGACAGCGGTGAAGTGAAGTACCACAGCAGAGATGCTGCGGTTGCTGGGGCTAAGAGCAAGCTCGGCACGAATGTGGAACCCCACAGCGCTGTCGGCTGGGACACGTGGAACCATGCTGAGGCATGCCCTGCTCCGAAGCCGGCATGCTTCGACACCCATCCTGGCCTTTGTGCGGCTAAGGCAGCAGACAAGCGCTTGATCTCCTTGGTGCCAGGTCTCGTGTCGCAGTTGCCCAGGCAAGATGCCATCTTGATGTTGGAGCAGCAGGGCGTGAGAGCTGCAGAGCGACAAGTCTTCTTCGTCCGACTTGTGGTAGGCCAGGTGGTAGCTAGCGTGCACACGGTGGTGGCAATTGAGGTTTCGGTTTCAATGGGTTCCAGCACGTCTCACGCTGGCAGGCTAGTTTTAAATTCAAGACATTGATAAGAGATTGACAGTGAGTGACATAGACTTTGACCTATTCGCCTACCCCGCCCTGCAGCTCGTAAAGCGTGGACCCTCAGCCTTGTTCAGGCACGAAGCGGCCGCTGAGGTTTTTCTTTGCACCAATGACGTTTCCAACTGGAGTCCTGGCTTGCAAAATGCCTCCTGGTTACAAAATGCGAGATGCAAAGCTGCCATTGGCGTTGCATCTGACACGGGTTCGGGGGATTGACAGCAGCTTTGACGACTATGGCTTGTGCAACCAGTTCGAGTTTACAAAACTGATGTTGGCAGCACACCCCGCTCCCCATGCAGATTGGTCGTCTGCGTTCTGGGTGATAAAGACTTTGGATTGGAACCAGAGCTCCCTCAGTCAGCATACAGCCACAAGTGTTTTGCATGTTTGTGGACAGTCGCAGCAGGGGCAGGCACCACGTTCTTCCACTGATGTCCCTGACGAAAGCTTTGATTTCTTTGATGCCAACTTCCTCAAGCATGATCGGCAGCGAGGTGTTTCCAGAACAGGGCCAGCTGACAACGTGTTCCAGCCGGCAACAGAGCGCCCCCAGATCCCTGCCTCCAGTTCCACAGACCCGGCTCCAGATTTGAATGCTTTGTTCCCAGGCAGTGACGAGGAGTCATTGTCTGATGGAGGCGGCATCGGAGACGAAATCGAGGCGGAGTTGCGGCTTGGGGAAGGGGACCGTCTCGCGGAGGAACGGCAGCAGGACCGCGAGCAGCCGGCAGGGCCGCGGCAACCTGCTCAGAATGAGAATGCAAATTTGAGAGCTCCCAAAACACAAAGCACGGATTTCGCTCTGGTGGAACGCACTTTGCGAGCCTGTGGCAAGCTACTTGGCCTTACTAGGCTAGGCTATGCTGGCTCGGCTCTATATGCTCTGCTCTGCTAGCTAGCTCTGGGCCTGTGCTTTGCTGCCTATGCTGCTGCACTCATTGATGCGTGACCACTGAACTTCTTGTTGCCTGTTAGCCAAGTCTCCTTGGAGATTGAAACGACCGTGCGTGTATGACCGTGTGTTTGTCTGTATGTGTATGGTACGGTCACGGTATGGTCTGTATGGTTTAGGTACGGCCCCCATACAGTAAGAGTCTATAATCGGGCTACTATTAAGGTCCTACTATATCTATATTATGAATATTTTTCAACTATTACTGAGTGGGGGCCGTACCTAATGTATGGTACGGTATGGTCCATGGCATGAGTCCCCGTTCGTTTTCTTCTTCAGCGGTTTTAAGGTGGTGCAGTGTAGGCCTAGGCGTAGGGTCTAAGTAAGCCTTTGGGTGCAGAAGGGTTGTGTCTGTATTACTGTGTATGAGTATGAGTCAATGACTGTATGACTCTATGACTCATGACCTCATGCTCCTTGGAGGCCGAAACAACCTAGCCTATCTCACATATGACCAGTGACCTGTGTACTTTCGGCCCAGGTTTCCATTGCCACCTGGATATGCCATTTACTTCAGGAAGGACAGTGCCACCTACGCATTGTTTTGCAAGGGAAAGCAGGTCAGAGGCAGTCGCGCTCATGTGGCGTACGAGAGGTCGCACGAAGGTGCACAGGGACCGTGATCCAGAGTCATGAGAGTTTGTTTGGCTTCAGAAGTAGGATGATTTCAGTTCTCCAGCAAATTAGTCATTTTCTGAGGCATTGGCATTGGGGATTGGGCAATCCGAGTCGGCTCTCACTCTCAGGGCGGCTGTACGTCTGTATGACTCGCATCCAGTATCCAGTATGTCATGTAATGTATGTCAGTCTGTATGTCTATGACTATTACAGTTACTATGTTATGTCATGTCATACTGTATCTGTATCAATAAAAATTGTAGGCATGGCATAGCCATGGCCATAGCCGCATCCGCATTAGCCTCTTGCCTATAGCTCGGCAGCATACGGCATACACCTCATACACTGTGTAATTAGCCTATAGCCTATAGCTTGGCAGCATACGGCATACACCGTGTAGCCAAAACAGCCTAGCCTGCCTAGCCTATCATGGCACCACTTAATCCTACCAATTGTATGTACCGGACCCTACTCATAACTCATACTCATACATACCTCGCCGATACCGACTTCTAGACTCAGATTCATACCACTTGATGTACGATTTGTCACTGCACGCAGGCGCGATTCGCGCCAGTCTGCGGCTTGGCCTGCCAGATTTTTACAATCAGCCAGCAGCCCTGTGATTGGCTTGAGCCCGGTGACACTCAATTATGGAGATTCAGTGCGATGTCGGCGATGACTCGATGCCTTGCTTGCTACGCTGGGGTTGTCACGCTAGAGAACAAATGCAAGGCGAGGGCGAGGGCCTCTGGAAAACAAGAGGCTACTGCACGTTGCTCCGGACATGAGTTTCTCCACTCGGCATACCTTATGAAGGCAGCTATAGCAGCAGGGTTCATGTGCATCCTCGGCGTAGCGATTTTTTTCTTAATTCCAGATCCATAGCAGATCATTCCATATCATATTCAGTTCAGTCAATACATATGTATATATGAATGAATCCTAGAATGATAAGCTGGCTGCATAACCAATTTTAAGGCACGACGATGGATATCGATAGTTATTATATACATGCGCGGTGCCAGGGCAAAATGAAAATTTGAAATCTGAATGATCTGAATATCTAACCTATGCGGATGCGACTATGCGTGACGAGCCGCATTGGACAGGAGACATTGCACTCCAAATGAAGCGTTCAGAGTTGTATGTGAATGGAAAGGGCGCTGTGCAATTGGTGGGTACAGCCACGTCTGAATATAGAACCAATAGCATGCCGCAGCATGCCACCTGTTCGACAGATGAGTAGCTACTGCTTGCCTACACTGAACTCGCTGCAGATATATTAATCGGTGTGCACAAGATGCTGAGGCTTTGGAAGAGTGTATTCTCTGTATTCTGTAATACTCATTCCGGTTTGAATCGCGAACAGGTCAGCAGAACTTATCCCATCGAGGTTCAAGCTCTGGGTGCTAATGCCGGTATAGGACAAATGGCGGTGCTGGCGGAGGCGGTGGTGATGGTGTAGGGGTCGGTGGCGGTGTGGAAAGGGGCCCATGAGCATCAGCTCGGGCTGGGCGGGCTGGTTTCCGAAAATGCGCTTCGGAATGGGGTAGCGGTAGCACACATTGGGGTGTGGGTGTGGGGCCCAAAAGCGAGCATCCTGCGCTTCAGCTGGCCGACATAGCCAATCGCCCAACATTGCGAATTCAAGCAGAAGCATCGGCAGCACTTGGGTAGAACCAGGTCTGATTTTCGGCACATGAAATCAGTTCAGGTGGCTGCGATCTATGGTAGTGGTATCGATCTTGTATACCATATCATATCTGTAGCAGTGTAGCATCTCATATCATATCATCATCGAATCATCTCATATCAGTGTATCAGTGCATGACTGTATCATTGTCTCATATCATTGTGTCAATTGTGTCATGAGTCATCATGGGTAATGTAAAAAGCAATATGGCAATACATAATAATCACCGATATCAGAGCTACAGTACTGTGTATGACTGTGTGTGATGTGTGTGTGTGTGTGTGTGTGTGTGTGCGTAAGCATGTTGTGTATATAATGATCTTGATGTACTGAGATTTATACATCAAGTATCGTTATGAACCTAGGATTTTATGACTTATTCTTGAGCTGATTCAACACAATCAATGGATCAACACATCAATAACTCAATAACAGTCAATCACCGAGGCACTTTTCGGTCAGGGCCCAGCGGCAGACGAGTGCTGTGGAGTGGATTGGCTCCGGCCAGCAACGGAGAGGCCGGGCAGCTGCAGCAGGCGGCTGAGGCAGTGTAATCTGCCAGGCCGGACCTGGACTCCAGAGCTGCGCGAGCAGAAACACTCATAAGCCAGCTTTTGCTTAATCGGGCCCATCAGGCCACCCGCGTGGAATGAACTAGTGAGCACAATTTGGAAGCACAAACTACAAAACTAGAGCAGAAAAAATAGCACAAGAAGGAGCACAATTTGGAAGCACAAACTACAAAACTAGAGCAGAAAAAATAGCACAAGAAGGAGCACAATTTGGAAGCACAAACTACAAAACTAGAGCAGAAAAAATAGCACAAGAAGGAGCACAATTTGGAAGCACAAACTACAAAACTGGAGCAGAAAAAATAGCACAAGAAGGAGCACAATTTGGAAGCACAAACTACAAAACTAGAGCAGAACAAATAGCACAAGAAGGAGCACGATTTGGAAGCACAAACTACAAAACTAGAGCAGAAAAAATAGCACAAGAAGGAGCACAAGTTGGAAGCACAAACTACAAAACTAGAACCACTATTTACCAGATTCCTGGTGGGTGAGTAATTGTGTTTTATAGAGCTGGCATGCAGCGGCGCGCGAGGCGCGCGTGCAATGAACTAGTGAGCACAATTTCGAAGCACAAACTACAAAACTAGAGCAGAAAAAATAGCACAAGAAGGAGCACAATTTGGAAGCACAATCTATAAAACTAGAGCAGAAAAAATAGCACAAGAAGGAGCACAATTTGGAAGCACAAACTACAAAACTAGAGCAGAAAAAATAGCACAAGAAGGAGCACGATTTGGAAGCACAAACTACAAAACTAGAGCAGAAAAATAGCAGAAGAAGGAGCACAATTTGGAAGCACAATCTACAAAACTGGAGCAGAAAAAATAGCACAAGAAGGAGCACAATTTGGAAGCACAATCTACAAAACTAGAGCAGAAAAAATAGCACAAGAAGGAGCACAATTTGGAAGCACAATCTACAAAACTAGAGCACAAGCAGGAGCAGAAAAGCCAGCACAAAGAAATAAAGCCAGTTTGAAGCTATTTTAAGCCAGGACAGGCCTTCCCTACTAAAAATGATCGATCGGCCCGGAGCCCGCCCGGCCCCGGCCCGGGCCGGGCTCCGGCTCTGTCCCTGGCCCGATTCGGCAGTTCCAGGGCCATGCCCAGGGCCCTGGCCCCGGCCCGGCCTAGCCCCTATAGC